TAAGAATTTCTTTCTAAAAATCAACGTTTATTCATAAGAGGTCAAACGACCCCTTATAGTAAGATAGGTGTATGTAAAACGCCGGTACGTTTAGTGTTAAGATTCTGAAAGCTCGAAATTTCCCACGTACCCACGAAGGACCAGCCGTCCAACTTGTGCAGAGTGAAAGCACCCGCCACGATGTAGCAGAGCATCGCACCCAGGCAAATGCTGATTGGCGCGAGTATAGTGACGTTGGGCCTGTCACCGGAGCCGAGGCTCGACACCTCGTCCTTCGGGCTGGTCTTAATTTCCACGGTGCTGGTGAACGTCGACGCGTTCGCGCGAACGTAAAACGGCTCCTGCAGCTGCAGTTGCTGCTGCTGCTGCTGCGCCAGTTCCTCCTGCTGCCTCTTCTTCCTCATCCGCCTCTCCTTCTCCTGCGCGTGCACACGTCGAACGTTTCAAATCGGAGCAAATTGTTATTGTTATCATTACAACGGTTATCAGGTTGTATACCGTTGTATGTACTGTGTTTGTACTCTCTGAGGACGTTGCTTCGTTTCGTCAAGCGAGACGGAAACGAATCCTTTTTTAAGCGGGGATTACTCCCCCCCCCCTTCCCGAGGATTATTCACCCACCCACTCACCTCCATTCGTCGTTCGTCGTAGCAACAGTAGCCGCAGTTGGAACAAAGGCAGCAGCAAAGAGCGCGGGTGAAAACACCCCTGGCGCATCTGGATAACAGCCCTCCGGTGCTTGATAAGTAAACCAAGGTCAATGGAATACCAAGGCTGGCATAACCGGTGGTTGCGATCTTGCCCCACGTGGACTTCGGCGCTATGCTGCCGCAACCTGCAAAGTATACGTGCAGATATTAGCTCTCATTCGTTTCTTCGTCTGTTTCTACTATCGCGCGAGGCGAGTGCTGCTTTGCCAAAGAAACGTGTGCACATTGAATGAAAGTGACTGTAAAGTGAAGGAAGGACTTTGCTTATCGAATCCACGCGAATATTCGTGGCCATTCACTACTCCTGGCGCGACGATTAATCGCCAACGGGGATAGATTTAAAGGTCGGCCAGGTGTGTTGAAATATACACGCGGAGGGCGCAATATTCGCAAACGAACGTCGGTTATATATCTGGTAAGCCGGATTTGAGAAAAATGAGGTGGTTGGTGGAGAATGAAGAGAGAAAGAGAGAAGGGGGGAACTAGACGTTTCCTGATAGGCGAGGAACGAAGTTGGGAAAAGCGGAGGCGCGAATCGATCGCGGGCCGCTTAAGATAATGGATCGCCTATTGGAATTGCTCTGGACCGTGTATGATAGCGGCTTCGAGTGCATTGCCGATGGAATTGTAGTCCGCCAGTCCGGCTGCCTCGCGAAACTACGCGAAAGCCTATACGTCACTGTCGTTTGGCCTTATCATTCACGACGGTGCGACCCTTTTCGTATCCGTTATCTGTTACCATTTGTTAGGAGAGCCACAGGCAGATTGTCAGTCCCGGTTTTATTGGTCGAGTATCTCCGCAATGGCGCGGA